ACATTAGGGCAGGGTGGGCTCTGAGTGCAGCATTCTTCTCCAGCCAGAAGCAGCCTCCCTTTGCAGGTTTGCCCAGGATAGTATTTGGCACGATAAGAGGCCTGGGCAGCAGCAGCTGCAGCATCACATCCTCTCCCAGCTGCAGATGTGGAGCACAGGCTATGACATCTACAATTAGTGTGACCTTGCCCAGCTATTTAACCTTGCTGAGTCTGTTTTCTCATTTGAGTAATAGTATTTGCACGGCATTGTGGTTGTGGAAGTTAACTGAAATAAAGGCATATAAAACTCCTGGAACCAAAGGGAGTTATTCTATGAATACGGTACGATACATGTTCAAAGGCTCTTTGCTGTGTTAATGTGTGTGCTCTTGTTTTCTACTTGCTCACTTGCCTCTGGGTGCTCAGTAACCTGACCCCATGGTGCAGCCTCTGTTTCCTGAGGCTCAGCTTGGATGCCTCCCACCTACCACCACATCACATTGCCTTCCTTCAGTTCATTTTCTCATTTGACCTCCACACTAACTCTGGGAGGTAGATGAGGCAGCAACATTATTTCCAGTGTAGCCAGGAGCTAAGCAATTTGCCCAACATTAAACAGCAAATCACTGGCAACAGTAGTAAGAAAATGACCCACCCTCTTGGGACACTTTCCATGTGAGTGAGGCACATGCTGAGCATGGTGCATGCATTATCCCACTTGATCCCCACAAACATGGTGGGGCAGGTATTTTTATCCCCATTTTACAGGTATGGAAGCAGAAATTTAGATGGTTAACTTTTCCAAGGTTGTAAGAAGAGTAGTTGGCATTGAACCCATTTCTCATCAGCTGTAGAGGCCTCTCGGCCTCTCTGGAAGTAACTTGAACCTAGTTCCTTTGATTCCTGGAAAACCGCTTATTTTGCAATGTGATGCTGCTCTAGAAAAAACTTAGCAAATCCACAGCTACCCAAAGCACAGTGCTTGATGTCTCCTCTCTTTGCCTGGGGACATTTTTGCTTAGGATAACTTACTGTCTAATGCTAAAAATGTGTGCCTCTCATAACTTAGAACTTTGATGGCCACAATCAGTTGGTCCCCAGAAAAATATCAATTCCAGCTTCGTTCTCACAGGAGAGCTTCAAAAGAGAAGTATAATTCATTTTTTCTTCCTCTTTTCTATTTATTTAGGTATCATTCTCTGTTATTCTGTTGGCTGTCATTTTTGGTTTGTATGGGCCAATTGATATAGACAAGCCAACACTAACAACCCCGACAGCCTGAGAATGGATAATACATGTGGCTTGACTGCCTCCTGAGATATTTCAGGTCCATTTATACCCTGAATGGCTGTCTAAGGAAGAACACACGCTTCTTTAGCTGAGTCAAGACTCACATAGGAAGTAGATGTTTCCTCCTGGCCATTTTCCCACTCCTTGTGATTTGGGCTTTTCACACATGGTGGCTGGGTTCTGAAGGACAGAGAGTGTTTGAAGAGCAAACAGTCCAGGCAGAAGCTACAGGCTCGTTAAAAGCTGACTATGGACATTTTAAAACATCATTTTTGCCTTTTCCTATTGATCAAGCAAGTCACTATAGTCAGACTACTTTTTGGGGAAGGGGAATCAGACACCAGCAGAGAATTAGGGTAGCTGATCCTTCAGCAATATTGCTTTTTTTCCTCTGTCAGTTTAGTAGGAGAAAAATGTTATTTTAATTGCATTTATTTCATTACAAGAAAGATCGAACATGAAAAGGGATGTGTATTAGCAATTTTCATTATCATGTGAATTACCTAGTCAAATATTTTGGCTATCTCTTTCTCTAATTAATCTGTTGGGGTTTTGTCTTAGGACCTTTTATGTTGGTATGTAGGAGTACCAGACGCTGGGTAATTTATACAGATAAAAGGTTTATTTGGCTCATGATTCTGATGACTGGAAAGTTCAAGACCTGGCATCTGTATCTACTGAGGGGCTCAGGTTGATGTAAGGCAAAGGGGAGCCTGTGTGTGTAGAAATCACATGGCAGGACAGAAAGCAAGAGAAGGGAGGACAAATGCCAGGCTCTTTTTAACAACCCAATCACAGAGCTCCTGAGAACTCACAGAGTGAGAACTGACTCACTCCCAAGGGAGGACATTAATCTATTCATGAGGGGTCCACCTGTATGACCCAAACATATCCCATTGGTCCCCACCTTTAGCTCTGGAGATCAAATTTCAACATGAGGTTTGGAGGGAACAAACATCCAAACTACAGCAGACTGCAAATATTAAACACATTAAATTTTGGTATATATATTGTGACTCTTTTCCAGTTTCAATTACCTTTTAATTTTAAAAATTTTTTCCTTTTTTAATCAAGACAAGATCTTGCTCTGTTACCCAAGCTGGAGAACAGTGGTGTGATCCTACCTCACTGTGGCCTCAAACTCCTGGGCTCAAGTGATCATACTGCTTCAGCCTCCTAAGTAGCTGGGACTACAGGCATGCACCACCACACCCAGTTAATTTTGTAAAGATTTTAAACTTTTGGTAGAGATAGGGTCTTGCTATGTTGTCCTGCCTTGGCCTCCCAAAGCACTGGGTCCTTTTAATATTTTACAGTGCTTTAAAAAAATTATCAATTATAGACTGGGTATGGTGGCTCACGCCTGTAATCCCAGAACTTTGGGAGGCTGAGGCAGGTGGGTCACTTGAGGTCAGGGGTTTGAGAACAGCCTGGCCAACATGGCAAAACCCTGTCTCTACTAAAAAAAAATAAAAAATAAACATTAGCCAGGTGTGGTGGTGCATGCCTGTAATCCCAGCTACTTGGGAGTCTGAGGCAGGAGAATCACTTGAACCCCAGAGACAGAGGTTGCAGTGAGCCGAGACCGTGCCACTGCACTCCAGCCTGAATGACAGAGTCGAGACTCTGTCTCAAAAAAAAAAAATTATCAATTATTTCATTAGATTCCACTTTCAAATGTTTTTTACCAGCTTCATTAGTGTGTAGTTAGCAAAAACATACATACTTATAGTACACAATGAGATGTTTTAATATATGATTGTGAAATTATTAAATTAAGCCAATTGACATATTCATCACCTGACATACTTGTTTTTCGTGTGTGGTGAGAACATTTAAGATCTACTCTCTTAGCAGTTTTTTTCAAGTATACAATGCATTATTAACTATGGTCACCATGCCCTACAATAGATCTCCAGAACTTATTCGTTCTGTACAACTGAAACTGTATAACCTCTGTATTAGTTCGTTTTCACGCTGCTGATAAAGACATATCTGAGACTGGGAAGAAAAGAGGTTTAATTGAACTTACAGTTCACATGGCTGGGGAGACCTCAGAATCATGGTGGGAGGTAAAAGGCACTTCTTACATGACAGTAGCAAGAGAAAATAAGGAAGCAGCAAAAGTGGAAACCCCTGATAAACCAACAGATCTCGTGAGACTTATTCACTATCATGAGAATAGCATGGGATAGATCAGTCCCCATGATTCAATTACCTCCCCCTGCGTCCCTCCCACAACTCGTGGGAATTCTGGGAGATAAAATTCAAATTAAGATTTGGGTGGGGACACAGCGAAACCGTATCACCCTCTGATCAACATTTCCCCATCACCTCCTCTCCTACCCTCCAATCCTTGGCAACCGTTCTCTCTCTCAGTTATTTTTAAGATTCTGTATATAAGTGAGATCATGCAAAATTTGTCTTTTTGGGCCTGGTCTATTTCATTTAGTATAATGTCCTCCAAGTTTTGGTTTATCCATGTGGCCACAAATGACAAGATTTCCTTCTTCATAAGGCTGAATAGTATTCCATTACATATGTGTGTGTGTGTGTGTGTGTATGTGTCTGTAAAATGTGACATATATTTCTTTTTTTTTTTTTTTTTTTTAAAGACAGGGTTTCACCATGTTGGTTAGGCTGGTCTTGAACTCCCGACCTCAGGTGATCCGCCCGCCTTGGCCTCCAAAGTGCTTGGATTACAGGCATGAGCCACCACGCCCGGCGACATATATTTTTTTCTTTATTCATTCATCTGTTGGTGGACACTTAAGTTGGTGTAACATTTTGGCTGATGCAATGAACATGGTAGTACAGACGTACCGATTTCATTTTTTTAAAGATGTATATCCAGAAGCGGGATTGCTGGATCACATGGTAGTTCTATTTTTAATTTTTTGAAGAAACTTCCTACTGTTTTCTGAAGACTGTATACAGGTTCTCCTTTCTTCACATTCTTATCAAACTTATATTCCTACAGAGTGTATAGGGGCTCTTCTTTCTTCACGTTCTTACCAAAACTTGTTGTCTTTGACCTTTTTTATAATAGCCATTCTAACAGGTGTTAGATGAGGTCTCACTATGGTTCTCATTTGCATTTTACTGATGGTTAAAGATTCTGAGCATTTTTTCATATCTCTGTTGGCCATTTTCATATATCTGTTCGTCATATCTTAGTATGTCTTGAGAAATGTCTATTCAGGTCTTTGGCACATTTTTTATTTTTGAGACAGGATCTCACTCTGTTGTCCAGGCTGGAGTGCAGTAGCATGATCATGGCTCACTGCAGCCTTGACCTCCTGGGCTCAAATGATTCTCCGACCTCAGCCTCCCAAGTAGCTGAAACTAGAGCTGTATGCCACCACACCTGGCCAATTTTTCTCTCCATTTGTTAATTGGGTTATTTCTATTGAGTTCCTTATATATTTTGAATATTAACCCTTTATTGGGTATATAGTTTGCAAATATTGAAGTCTTTTTTTTTTTTTGAGATGGAGTTTCGCTCTTGTTACCCAGGCTGGAGTGCAATGGCGTGATCTCGGCTCACCGCAACCTCTGCCTCCTGGGTTCAGGCAATTCTCCTGCCTCAGCCTCCTGAGTAGCTGGGATTACAAGCACGCGCCACCATGCCCAGCTAATTTTTTGTATTTTTAGTAGAGACGGGGTTTCACCATGTTGACCAGGATGGTCTCGATCTCTTGACCTCGTGATCCACCCGCCTCGGCCTCCCAAAGTGCTGGGATTACAGGCGTGAGCCACCGCGCCCGGCCAAATATTGAAGTCTTTAATACATTTTCAGTTTATTTTTGTGTATCGTATGAGATAAGCGCCTAATTTCATTATTCTGCTTGTGGATACTCAGTGTTCCCATCATTTATTGAAGAAATTATTCTTGCTTCGTTTTCTGTTCTTGGTACCTTTGACAAAGATCAATTGACTAGAATGCATGGATTTACGCGTTTAAGTAGACTTCCCACCCTGTACTCAAGATACATATTAACTTTATTCCTAACTTATCTATGGTTTAAATTTTATCAATAATCATTTAGACTTATTTTGATATATACTGGAAGGTAATTCAATTTTTTCCCAATGTTAACGCAATTGTCCTCACACTATTTATTTAATCATCTATACTTTCCCTATTGATCTAAAATACAATCTTCATCTTCTCCTAAATTGTTATGTATACTTGGACCTGTTTGGAGATTTTGCAGCAAGGGGATGAGAAATCTATGCTTTAGAAAAATGACTGATTACAGGAGGTGGAAGTAGAATATCTGCTGCTGGTGCCATATTAGATGTTAATCTGAGGAACACAGTATGTTGGTTGGTTTGGAAAGTTTTTTGGGGGGTAGGCAGTAGTGCTGGAGAAGAGGAGCAATGGAGATTCATGTAGAGCAGCCATGTTCAAAAGTGTGGTCTGTGGACTTCAAGAGTCCTGAAACCCTTTCAAGGCATCTGAGAGAGAAAAACTATTTTCACAGTAATATGTCACTTTGCCTTCTCATCGTATTGACAATGGCACTGACAATGCGCAAGCAATGGTATTTTTTACTGACCAGCAGTTTTCTGCTGACACCTTAGCATGAATCACGGAATGATGCCAAACTGCACTAGTAGTCATTGTGCTCTTCAGTGCCAAACACCTGCAGCAACAACAAGAAGCAGCAAAAAAAGAAAAGCCAGCTTCAAGAAAATACTTTTTTAAAAAATTATTTTTGAGTACATAGTAGGTATATATGAGGTAAATGATATGTTTTGACACAGGCATGCAATGTGAAATAAGCACATCATGGAGAATGGGGTATTTTATCTCCTCAAGCACGTATCCTCTGAGTTACAAACAATCCAATTACACTCTTTAAATTACTTTAAAACGTACAATTAAGTTATTATTGACTATGGTCACCCTGTTGTGCTATCAAACAGTAGGTCTTATTTGTTCTATTTTTTGTGCCCATTAACTATCCCCACTTTCCCCTG